AATAAACACAGTAGAACTGAATTTGCATCATCTCTTGGAGTTCTTTGGGCTAGACCTGACAATATTTTAGGTAATGTTCCAATGGAAGACTCGTGTCATCTCCCAACAGTGCTACTGAAAGTAACAGAATACACAGCAGTGTACCCAATGCTCATTGTGCACTGTGCTCATAGTGCACAAATGGGAATGTATGGATGGAGATTGTTGAAATTTGTCATTTCATGAACAAACATTTCATTGTAAAGTAATAATTAAAACTGACCCATATTTATCATGCACCTCAGATTATACGGAAAGTGATGTAATGGTCAAGGATTTGGGAAACTGATTCTACAAATCTTTCTTAGTTTGACTTGCCTTTTCCATCTCAAGAATCTTATCTTGCATTTCCTTCAGGGCACTGTGTGATTCTGCTTCACTGAGTTTTGCTTCTATCAACTCTCTTTGCAACTGCAGCACAAAGTCTTCACTGTGGTGGGAACTGCTCTTATGCTACAGAGCAAGTAAATCCAATATTGGTGTTAACAGAAGTGATATCTTAAAATGTAAAATCATGCACACAAAAAATCAGACAAAAAGACTTTTAAAAAAGCTGTAATATTTGAAACAGTAAAGCTTCTTTCCCTAAAACATTTCTCTTCATACCTACCGATTGCAACAAAGACAATGCTACTGCTTTCCAAAGATCATTACCATGTACACCTTAATTTTCTTTCAACTGTGATTTTTTCCCCTAACCCAAATATGTAATTAAGATTAACTTGTTTCTAAAAGCTGTGGAAACACAGTTCTAGTTTTCTTAAGATCTAATAAAATCACTCAATTAGTCAGAATTATTAGCATTTTGTGGTAGTTGCTAAAGTTTTGTTCCAGTTGACTGACAAACCACCCAATCCCAAAGATATGGTAGAAATATTTTAAGACTAAAAGGTATTTTTACTTCTCCAACTAGCCACTAAGTCACTGTGTTTTTCCAATTACAGACAATCTGAGTCAGCCAGCCTGCAGCAATGACTAACAGAAAAGGCAATCTTGCATTTTCACACTGTTTATTACTTGCAAAGCAGCTAGAACCATTCCTTTCATTGCAGAAAATAAGGCAGGAGATAAACAGATCCACCCACAGTGATCAAGAGTTGGTTAACAGATCTGTATCTGTGCCATTATCAAATGTCACTGAGATATGTGACAGTTGCTAAACAGCACTGTGCCCCATTGCCATCACTGCATTCAGGATTTCCCCTTTGAGTGCAACTGCAGCAGACAAATCACAGCAGCATCATATGAACCCTCACATTCTGTAAGTTTTTACCTAAACATTAACAATATGTAATAAATTGGCTTAACTGACTGCAACTATGCATCTGCACAATGGATAATCCACCCTCTTTCCAATAAGACTTTGTCACAGTTATTTATTGCAAATGTCACCCCCATCCAAAGGCTCTAGGCAGTTTACATCTTATAAAACATAATATGATCCATTAAAATAACAACCACCCTATACCAATTAAAAATCAGATCGCTTTTTAAAATCTTACAACTAACTTAAACTGAAATTACATTAGCCCAGTAGAAAATGTGTTATGCTTCAAATGCATGGCAAAAAAGGAGGGTCTTGGCTGCCTACTGCCTTGCTAAAACAAGCATTGTGCAGGCCATCCTGACCTTGAGAAGGGCAAGCTCTTCCACAGAGTTCTGGCTGCCATCAAGACAATTTGCTTCTGGTTCCTACCCCTTTAACCTTCTGTAGGGGAGGGATCCAAAGCATTCCCTCAGGGAAAGCATAACCCCATCCAAAGTTATCACAGGAACCCAAATCATTTCTTGACAAACAACAATCCCATGTTTTGCTAGGATTCAGACTGAACCGATTTCATTTCTTATAGAGTCTCAAAGCCATCAAACACCAGGTAAGAACATCCACTCAGTGCAGGGTATAGATGTACAGCTGCATATTGATGATAGCCCACGTAAAGCAAAACTGTTTAAATACAAGCGCAACATCAAAAGTTGCTATAAATTTTAAATGTTCCATGTTTATCATACTGTCTGCAGGAGTTTTTGGAGGAGAGGGATAAAGATACAACACAACGTATGTCCTTTTAGTGTCATATTTCATGCCAGAAACAGTACACCAAAGAAGTGGGTATTTTCCAGCAACAGACAATTAGCCTATCTAGTTCAGTACTGTCTACACCAGTGTTGTCCAAACTTGGCCACTTTAAGATGAGTGGACTTCAACTCCAAGAATTCCCCAGCCAGCTCATCCAAGTCCACTCATCTTAAAGTGGCCAAGTTTGGACAACACTGGTCTACACTGATTGACTGGCAACTCCCAGCTACATGTGAGATTTGAAGATCCTAAGCAAATGTTCTTGCTCCTTGCCCTTCTTGTCTTGAAAACACTGATGAATGGTAGGTAGTACCAGAGCTTGAGGGATTGTCTTTTGCACTAGGGAAGGGAGAAAACGAATATACCTGAATGGGTTTGAAAGCTCACTTTATTTTTCTACTCTTAACCTGCCATTTTTTTTTCATTAGCTAGCATAATCAATCTTATGAGTTACCTGAATCTGAATTGCACAAATGCTTCTGGAACTTGTGTTTGTTTCTGGAATTTGCACATTTAATTAAAAAAAAATCTGAAGAGATTTATCGTTTGCAGAACCACTCTCTCTCCATTGTCTCTGCTTACCCAACCAGGTCTAGCAAAGAGGGCATGCTCTGGGTCCCTTCTATCAAGCAATGTCACCTTGCCGGACCCTGGAGTTATACCTGCCCTATGGAACAGCAGATTTGGATGGCCCCGAATCTTTTAGCCTTTCCTAAGGCACTGAAGACCTGGGTGCTGCCTACATGGGTTTTTTTTTGGTTTGTTTTATCTTTGTGGGCCAGGGGTTGTATGTTGTAGTTTTTGTGCTTTTAATTTTTGTATAACACCCAGAGTTACCTATGTGAGATGGGCAGTCATATAAATCATTTAAATAAATCATTAAATACATTAATATTTCTCACATGACAGTCTGGGCATCAGATCTATCAAGATAAAGATATTTAATCTAAAAAAAAACATGTATCCTAAGCCAATTCCTTCTTTTTCAATGGGCAAACTTGTGGCTAAAAGCCTGAATTAAAGATTGAAATACAAGTTATCTGATACTGGGAATGGAGCAGATGAGCAAAAACAGAATCATGCTTAATTTGAAGGCTGCTTTTGATCAATCAAAAGGCAGATTAAAGAAAGGAAATTCAATCTGTGTCAAATAGGTGGGAACTATGCTTGGATAACCCCTTTGCCTAGCTCCATATGCTTATGTGTTCTCTAGTCTATAGGTTTACAAACTCAAAAACAAGGAATACTCTTGTATAGAAGTATCTCAAGGTCAGGGCTACCCATCCTGACAGATCTAGTGCCTGCTATTGTTCAGTTATCAGAACCACTAGAAGTCTGTGCCCTGTTTCCATTCCTTTGAATACCTCATCTGTCTAATACACAAGACTATATAAGAACCCCTGACTACAGGTAGTCCTCGCTTAACAACCCTAATTGGGACTGGAATTTCCATCACTAAGTGAAATGATCATTAGGCTTCATGTGACCCTGCTGCCTAGTGACAGCAGTTCTGGTAATCCCGGTTGCAGTCATTAGGCGAGGACCACACCATTGTTAGGTGAGGACCTCATGCTTCTCCTGCCCTGTGTGAACTGCCGGCTCTGCCCAATGCCTCCTCCCCAGCCGGGTCTGGTGAGCTCCCTTCGGCAGAAAGGCTCTGCTGCCCTGCTGCGCTAACTGCACACATGCTGGGGCTGCGTCCTTGCCCAGCACCTGGATCTCGGGCCAGCAGCAGGAAGAAGATGGAGAAAGTTGCGCTGGGGACAGCAAGGGTAGGTGGGGGCAGTGGAATGCAGGGCAG